TGTGTGTGTGTGTGTGTGTGCGAGTGTGTGTGTGTGTGTGAGTGATTAATGCAGCGGCAGATGGAGCTTTGTTCTTCTCATGCACTCGTTCACTGGGGTTTCCATTCGCTTTCACTTCATGAGTCTTTACCTGAGGACTGAATCCGTCCATGTAGCCTACATACTACACCTGTTTGTGTGTCTTTTTACTATCTGCGAGTTTAATAGTCAGCGTGTCGCTGCGTTTGTTAACGATTAGCACAGCTGCTCCGCCACTTCATTAGGTGAAGGTGTCGTATCATCACCGCCATAATTGTGCACTAATTATATTTGCAGTACAGTGATTTCCTTATTTCTCTAGCGGCGACTCTCCTGCTGCTAATAATCCTGATGCTGTTGTTATAAAAGTATCCTCTGGAAAACTCCAAAACGGCCGCTCGTTCTGTCGTGTCATTTTATTAAAGCATGAATCATGCCAGAAATAAATCCTGTGTGTGTGTGTGTGTGAGAGTGTGTGTGTGTGTGTGCGCGTTTTTGTGACAAATGAGGACATAAATTTGTATAATGACAAAGGTATGACAGGTATTACAAGGAGAAGGTGACTTTTCAGGACATTACCCCATGTCCCCACTTTTCAAAACGCTTATAAATCACACAGAATGGAGTGTATTGAAAATCTGAAATAGCACAAAGTCTCCTTTTAGGGGTAGGGTTGGTGTAGGGCAATAGAATATACGGTCTGTACAGTATAAAAACCATTACGCCTATGGAGAGTCCCCACTTTTCACAAAAGTAAACCTGTGCCTGTGTCCCTGTGTCTGTGTGTGTGTGTATGTGTGAGAGAGAGTGTGTGTGTGTGTGTGTGTGTGTGCGAGTGTGTGTGTGTGTGTGAGTGACTAATGCAGCGGCAGATGGAGCTTTGTTCTTCTCATGCACTCGTTCACTGGGGTTTCCATTCGCTTTGACTTCATGAGTCTTTACCTGAGGACTGAATCCGTCCATGTAGTCTACATACTACACTTGTTTGTGTGTCTTTTTACTATCTGCGAGTTTAATAGTCAGCGTGTCGCTGCGTTTGTTAACGATTAGCACAGCTGCTCCGCCACTTCATTAGGTGAAGGTGTCGTATCATCACCGCCATAATTGTGCACTAATTATATTTGCAGTACAGTGATTTCCTTATTTCTCTAGCGGCGACTCTCCTGCTGCTAATAATCCTGATGCTGTTGTTATAAAAGTATCCTCTGGAAAACTCCAAAACGGCCGCTCGTTCTGTCGTGTCATTTTATTAAAGCATGAATCATGCCAGAAATAAATCCTCTGTAAATGAAGTGTAGGACATTGTGGTAATTAACGTGAAGGGTGTGATGGGCTTGTTGAAGCTGGTTTCCTCCGGCAGCGGGATATTAATAGATGTTTGTTGGGTGAAACTCAGGAAATCTGTCAGAAATGATTTTCAAGTCGTGTTTCACCACAAAAATCAAAAGCAAGAAATATAGAAAATGTATATGTATTTTACATAAAAACAGCGAAGCTTGGTTTTAGGTTTTAGGACCGTTTTTTTGCAAACAAATCTTATTCTCATTACTATAATATGAAATATATATATTCAAAAAAAATTGTGTGTCTGTGTGTATATGTATATATATATATATATATATATATGTAAATATACTCTACCGTTCAAAAGTTTGGGATCAGAATGATTTTTAATGTTTTTACAGCTCATCAAGGCTGCATTTATTTGGTTAAAAAATACAGGAAAAATTTAATATTGTGAAATATTATTATTAGGGATGCACCGATACCACTTTTCAGAGCGAGTCCGATACCGATACTATCATTTTTGTTACTCGCCGATACCGATACCTGTATTATCACAGCTTTTGTAATTTTTTTAAATATTGGGTACAGAAACAAAATAATAGTA